CCCCCCTCCAACAACAACATCAACAACAACAACAACAACAACAACTCTGCCCGTGCCCCTCCAACAAAAACAACAACATGGCCCTCAAATCCACAACAAGAAGATGCGAAGGAAGAGGCTGTCAGTTGACAGTGGTCACTACGTCATCATCAGCTTTGCTGTGCCTGGAATGTCGATGCATGGAGCGCAGTGTCCTCCCTAAGGCATTGCTGGACGCTTCTTGGCTGACTCTTGACCACTGATCAAGACTCCGGGTGGACCCACATTTGCTGATTTCACTACCGTGCACGCTTGATTCAGATCTGGCTGCTCGATGAAAAAGAAACCAATGGCATTAGTTAGATAATCTTCAGTAATACTTATAGAGTTTACAGAATAATACAGTTGTTCTTTTAAGAGCATCCAGGCAAAAAAATAAATAAATATAGCGGCCTTGATAATTATTTGAGATGTGTTCTGTTTTCTTCAAAACAACAACAACAATAACAACAACAACAACAATAGCAACAACAACAACAACAACAACAACAACAACAGCAGCAGCAACAACAACAACAACAACAACAACAACAGCAACAACAACAACAACATCAACATAAACAGGAAAACACGCTTCAATTTATGATGATGATGATGTAATCTTGAGAACATCTTTGTGTGGTCCATTTCCCTGCTAGTATACAGCGTTCATTTAGTTTTTCTCTCAGTTGCTCCTGAGGAAGCCCAAGATGCGAAACGTTGAGCTGTGTCTATTAAACAAATTTTAAAACATTTTATATTGTTATGTTATTTGGTCTGAAAATCAAACAAGACTCTCCCTCTTACTCTGCTTTCAAAACAATGTTGATGGTGATGATGATAAACAAATATATATACAAATAAACATATACACGCATCCCCTCCCCCCACACAAAGCCAACAGAAAAACAAAAAACAAAAATTTACTTGAAAGAATAGGTAGCAAAAATAACTCACCACTAAGATTGAAGTTGAACTTTGACCCAGACCACCGGCGAGGTGAGCTGAGCATGGGCCAGTCCCTGCCTATTTCAGAGGCCGCCGTCCGGCACGCTTCTTCCAAGCCTTCTGCAAAACAGAGAAACAGTTAACGATTCTAACAGATTATTTGTTGTTTAGCTTTTGAATGAAATAATCGCTCGAAGCACAAGTGTGCATGACATGTAAATTCTCTTTAAAAAAAACAACACTTACACAAACACACACACACACACACACACACACACACACACACATACATACACATACACAAACGCACACACACACACACACACACACACACACACACACACACACACACACACACTCACACACACTCATACACACCATGCACACAAACATAATATCAAATAACAACTCACCTCCTCCCTAACTAACAAAATTAAATCAATAAGAACGGTAGAAACAACCTATCTAAAACTAAAACACCCCGAGGGCCTTCGGGCTAAAATTCCAACAAAGCGACCACTGCTGTAGACTTTAAAGCCAAAATTTGACAGATGCATACAACCGACTTTCACTATAAATTTAAATTACATTCTCTTGATCAATTCCAACACTTGGCGTCGATAGCCTAATGAGGCAACCGTAATCGTGCGATTGTGGATTTGGTGGGTTCGAGCCTCAGCTCAGTCCGACATTGTGTCCTTGAGAAAGGCACTGTGCATGAATTTCCCGTTAATAAGGGTGGTAAACCTATACAATTTCACCATTTTTACAAATGCCATCACACGCCCGCCCATTGTCTACCTCTCACCTGAAACGTCAAACTTCCGGCCAGGGGCGAAACCCTCCTTGTGGATGACCTTGATCGTGTTAGGGTCATTTTTAATCTCCCTTATCCGCGCCAGGGCAATGACTTTCTCCCCAAGGATACGTCGTTCTTCCTCAATGTCACGGACGTCTTGTGTGGCATCGTCTGCGTCATCTTTGATGTCGTGCTCTAGTTTGGTGTTCTTCTCGTGGAGGACCTGGATAGATAGATAGATAGATAGATAGATAGATAGATAGATAGATAGATAGATAGATATTAGCTGAGTTGCGAGCGCCGTAAAACCCTATACTACATACTATACTACAGATATTAGCTGGAGTCGAACTCGTATTCGAGAGGTTGTGGGTTGGGGTTTGATTCTGGGTTCGAAGCTCATACCCAACGTTGTGTCCTTGGCAAAGACACTTCGCACGCATTTACCTTATTTCACCAAGGTGTGAATAGCTACCTGGCTATAGATAACAAGAGATCTTGTCCTGTTGAGATAAACTACCACAATGAAATAAACCAAAAAATAAAAGACACTCCCCCCCACACACACACACACACACACACATACACACACACACACACACACACACACACACACACACACGCCCCCCCCCACACACACACAACACTGTACTCATGATAATACAATAACAACAACAGTAATTAGTATTGTGAAAATGGATAATATGACATCTTGGAAAAATACGTTATGTTTTATGTTTCTAAAAATCATGAACTTCTCAAATAACAAATTAGAAGCTAAGTTCTCATTTCGCAGAGAGTATGTTGCAATGTTACATTAGTTACTTACAGTAAGAAGTAAGTCACGTTCACTTCGAAAAGAGTTAGATCTATAGTATTTTGCAAAGGTTATAATAAAAAAAATCGTGCCGATAAGTTCTGCTTGCGATGTTGTATAATAATGAAAATAGGTTTGTTTATTTATTAATTTATTTGTTTGTTTGTTTGTTAATTTGCTTGTTTGTTAGTTTGCTTGTTTGAGGAAGTTGAAACGTGCAATAGTTGTGGGAGTTATTGAAATCTGCGTGCATCCAACCTACTCCCAAACTCGCTACTTTAAAAGACACCATGCACGCGTGCAAAGAGATAGCTGGTGAGTAAGATAAATTAAACAGGAATATAGATCGACAGGTAATTCGATTTCGGGAAGTCAGTTTATCAATACTTTGATAGATTTATAGATAGGAAGAAAAACGGATATCCAGACAATTATACATAATTATTATCTCTATAGGTAAAGAAATACTTAAGTAGATAGATGAATAGATACACACACATACACACATGCACAAACACAGAGAAAGTGTGTGTGCGTGTGTGTGCGTGTGTGTGTGTGAGAGAGAGAGAGAAAGCTAGAGAGAGA